AGCCAGGATTTCGTTTCAGGGGGGCACCCGCCTATGACAAAGTGCTGTATGAGGAAGTGGGGGGAGAAAAGGTCTCAGCAAAATGGAAGATTTCGGGGTGAGAATGGAAGAAACTGGATGAGTTTCGTACCGGCACGCGTTTGTGTGATCACTACGTGTGATGCACGTTAAAAACTACTGCACCGGCTAAATTTCTCATCTACAGCTAAGAGACCAATTACCCGTTGAGGCGCATCTCCATCAAGGCTGTATATACATACAGAGCAAACCAGTTTTTTTTTTTTTATCTCCAAATAAAAATTATTTGCTTGAAGATACAATAGTGTGTGAGGTACAGAAATACATCATATATCTTTTAATTCAAAATATGTTAACAAAATTTACTAAAAAATGTGTACCAATATTTTTTCTTTTTACTTCTGGAGTAGAATGAAGCACGTTCAAACACCCATCCACGAGAGCACATGGGATGGGAAGGGGTGCTGTGCTGGCTTTACTTCTTGTACTATGTCCTCTAATGAGTCATCATGACAAACACACGCATCGTCGTCAAGACTGGCATATTCTGCCAGCTCGGCGTTCACATTATGTGCTTCAAGGCCAGAGGCATGATGCCATTGAGCTGGTCCTTCTCCTCGACATCGTCTTGGTCATCATTGCTAGTCTTGAAGCACATAATGTGAATGCTGTTTTCCGCTAATGTGTGCCCGCTTGAGCCCCATTGAGTGCGCATCTTTCCGAGCACCAATGCACTGCAGAGAAGCAACACTGGCAAAAGCAAGCTCCGCAGGTATTGCTTCTCTGCGGTGCACCGGTGCTCGGAAGAGGCGCACTCAATGGGGCCGCGAGAACAAAAGAGTATGAATTAAGCGAAAACGCCGTTCGAATTAGGCGACTTATAAATACAGTAAAAACATAGCGGGACAACCAAAATTTTCAAATCTGTTTGAATTAACCGGAAGTATGAAATATCCGAGTTTGAATTATCGCTAGCCTATTGTATAAATTAATTTCTGCAGCAACTTTGTACTTAACGTCGCAATCAAGTGATTTTTAAGCTACCGTAAAATACCGGGTAAGCGCCCTCAAAATTTAGAGATAATCGAGAAAAAATGGGGATGGGCACTTGTCCGGTCATCAATTTTACATATAAATGTTCTGTGCATACTTTTTCATATCTTAGAAATTTGGATATGGGCACTTAATGTGCAATGGGCGGATGCGTGGTATTCTACAATGAATTAATTTTTTCGGACTGCTAGATTAATCTGAGCTTTGCGTGATCCCCATTGAGTCCGAAATATTGGTCGGTGACTATCAAACGTAAACACAATGGTTACACACCACAGGTCCCGAAGAACCAGGACATCAATGAGCTGGCTTTCACCTCGTCCTAGGCAGCAGCGGAACACTATGGGCGGGACCCTGGGTCACTGCACCGGCCAGCTTATGGATGCCGTACTGCACCCTGGACGGCATTGCGTGTGGCTTAGCTGGCCAAGCAGGGGGTCATTCCATGACTTTTATGAGGCGTCGCTAGCCATTGTAAGTATATATTTTGAACACTCACGTCTGGTAATGTACTTTGGTACTCTACAACAGAACACATTTGGTGGCGGTTCAGTCTTGCCAATTAAGCTATTTTGATACGGAACACATAAAGTGGCGGCTCAGTTTCTGACTCGGCGGCCTTGCAGCAGTGTTTAGACTCGGCAAAAACCTCTTTGTACTTCATTGTCAGGGTAATTTCTGCAAAGCTGTAAAAGCAACTTCTGTACGCGAACAAGATGCAAGACGAAGCCACATGCTCGTGCCCAGTGTACGACTACATGAGCGCTCGTGCCCGTGCGTAGTTCATTTCGGCGTTGCCACTCCACGCGTCCATGAACTCGCTGCACCTTGAGAATCAAGTGTGCACCACAATGCACTCCTGTCATACATCACTCACGAGAGGAATGAGAGCAGACAACTGGGGTTTTTCCGCCATAAGAGACGGGAGAACCGAAAAAAAAAGGAAGCATGTCCCACGGGCAACAAAATCGGACGCGAGCTGGGCTATTTATTTTGTGAAGCAAGCGATCAACAACCTGTGCTTTATTTGCAAGTTTTCAGTCATTTTGTTGCCGCACAAACGTTGAAATACATTAGTGGATAAATAAAGGTTCAGAAAAATCGTCAGCTACCGCGAGATCTCTGTCGCCATCCGTGCGAGGTGGATAGTTGGGACGTTAGTCGACAAACCTCGCCCGCCCCCTGTCCATCACCTGACCACATTCTGTGAATGTGGCTATATGCGAGGGAGCGGGATCATGTGGCAAAAGATAGAAGTGATACTGGCCCAAAGAGCACATAGTTTCCACAGCACTGTCAGCTTAGGGGTGCACGGAGGATAGTTGTGCGTAGTACTGCGGAAGCTACAGGCCAGAGAGGGGGGGTGGGGAGAACATTCAAACAACTTTTGTTTGAATGTTGAGCGAAGAGCATCAAGGGCTAATTTTCTAGGGGAAGATTGGTGATGTCCGGGTACAAAAATAAGGGCCCAAGCACAATGAGCAAGAGGGGAGTTTCTGCTTTTCCTCTGGAACTGCTAGCGGTATACTAGCCTTAGGTCTACCCACTAGTCACTCTAGCCAGGGCTGTGTTCTGACGTCCCCACACTCTCTCGTGTCCTCCTCTCCATCAGTGTTTTGGTACATACTCAAGTGCTCTGCATCATGGACAGATTTGTTTTCTTTTGGAGGGGGGGGGGGATAAGTTGTTTCTTTTTCAGGTTAACTTTTTCTTAATGGAAAATCAACATACTGCAGCTTTTCTTAGGAAGAAATGATTAGTTTTTGGTGACATAACAAATATTAGGTCAACAAAACACATCTGGGCTACATTTTGCCCGTGAAATATGTATCTCCTTGCAAACTCCCCCTTCTCTCCCACCCCACCCAGCCTGACCTATAAATTCACCCCTGCTCTTCATTGCCCTGCATGTTCTGGTCAGATATTGTTTGTGTTGACCTGATGGACTCCTTTGTTCCCTGCATTCATCACAGGTCTCAAACCGTCCTGAATCATGGACGAAGCCTTGCAAGACTGCACTCTTCTTAGGCTTAGTCCTTTTTGGTGGATCGGGTCTTGCCATGATCCCTTCTTGTGGGTTCCTGTCGTAATAAATTGTTTTTTTGTTCTGATGACGGTGCATACCTACTGGTACACTTCACAAAACGAGTGTGGTGAATCCATGCCACGGATTACTGTGAAACATGCGAGAAGGTAATTATACAAAAGATGAAGCTCTAAAACGTTTGATGGAAATATAGATACATATCCCTGTTAAATTTTCTTTGCTACCTTATTATGCTATGTCCAAAGTATTTCAGCGTATCGTTGCATTGGCTTTTGACCATTTACACTTTCAAGGGAAGGCTATCAGCAAGAAGGGTTCTCAAGTCTTTTCTGTTTGCAATAATTACTGAGAAAGGTTTTTGCGGAGCGCAGGTTTGTCTGCTTTTTTTGCAGGGGTTGCGGTGACGTCGAAATGCCAATCTGTGGTTGAAGGATGGTGGGTACACAATGCTAGCTGCCTTCAGGTCTACCCGCTATCTTTCAATCAGAGCTCTGCATTCTGACATCACCACAACCCCTGCAAAAGAAACGGACGAACTTGCACTCTACATAGACATTGCCAAGTGGATTTCAACACGTCTAAATGCTTAAACTTTACACTATTTTGTCACCATTATTTTAATGAGGTTTTGCTGGGGGAAGTATGTTTTCCAGAGAGTTTGCAGTTGCCATACTTAAATTTAAAGAAAAAAACCGACACTTGTCCTCAGAGTTTTTACAGAACACACATCGCTATCACCATCACTTCTTATTTGGATCACCATCACTTTTTATTTGGGTGGATGGCACTTCTGTTGAGATGTTTTACTTCCGTACGTCCGGAAAGCATCCTTGCCGGGCAGCTGTCAACAGTCTAGTGACGAGCCGAAGCGGGGCGGTAATGTTGGAGATATGAAACAAAATAGTACCCCGTGTTAAATATTTGTTTGCTGGTCTGCTAGGCATCACTGAGGTGCTTTGTCTGGCTGTGTGCCTTTATTTTATGCTAATAGAATGTGCTGCACCTACAACTACTGCTTAGTTGCACTCGTGCAGGGGTCTATGACAGTTGACAGAACACCATTCCATAGAAGCATGTTTTCAAGTATGGGCACATTTTATCGAAGCTCAGTTTACAGCAACATCAATTATTGAAAAAGGATCGCCATTTAGTGAATCTATTCGATTGCCATAAGCAAATCGGGAAGCACCTAAATGCTAGTGCGATTTACTGAGGCATGTTTGCCTATGCTTTGAGCACTCGCTCTTCTCTCTTTCAGTTGTAAACCAGGCAAAACGTAAAAGTATTCTTGCGAAAACAGCAGGGTTGCGACGTGCACAAAAACACATTTATCATACTTTGAATGTGCTGGCCGCCCAAGCGAGTGATTCGCTGACTGCCTCGGCTTCACTGTCGTCCAAGGCAGAGCAAGTAGTCGAGTTCGGTGAATTGTGTTTTCCTGAAAACAAATTTGCTAAAAGGAGGTTTGTCGCCATCTTCTCTAAACTGTGTCTTTTTGAAAGGATTCAATAAAATGGGGGTTTCTAAACCGGTGCTTGAGAAAATAGGTGCCTCCGCTCAGGCCCTACACGTTGTTGCTCTTAGATCTATCAGTTGACGAGCTTGACAGAAAAGCAGCGTCCAAAAACAGTTCTCTGTTGCTGGCACGCAAGCAGGTAAAGGTAGAAAACGTTCCTAGCGTCAATGCGTCCACGGTCAACAAAGATTATTTTTGGAACGACACTGTTTTTGCACCCAACCTTCCACCAGATCTGTCCATAGGACGGGCCTATAGACGTTTGCAAGCGCCGTTCCGTCTTAGCCTCGAACCGCGCGCCGAAACGACGCGCACTCTCCAACAGGGCGTTCTCTCCCCCGTCGGCGCAGCTAGCGGGGACGTCTCTCCGCATTTTTACTTCCCGGCAACATTGTGCCGTTTGTTGACTTTACGCTCGTTGCTTGGCGTGGGGTCTGCGCCTTTTCGAAAGTTTCTTCCTCGGTGCGCCTTCTTTTCCGTCACTTCGTCCATAGTGCACGATGAATAATCCTACAAGGTCGTCAGGAGTGCACTGCGCTGTTTTCGGTTGTTCGAACAATCATCGCAAGAGGAACAATCAGAGACAGCAATTGTGCGCTGCTCACTTGCAAACGCCCTGCGAGTGTGGGATAGTTAAGTTCCACCGTGTCCCCAAGGATCCCGAACTGAAAAGAAAGTGGCTCTCCGCGCTGAACCGCAAGGACTTCAAGCCTACGGAACACACCCGGGTGAGTTCGACATATCTTTATCACTGTCGTGATCTTTTGCGTAACGCTCGTGCCTGATTCCAGGTGTGCTCGGCGCATTTCGTGACTGGGAAAAAGACGGGCGAGGATATCGTGCCGCAGCTTAACCTCGGGTATGCGCGGAAGGTAAATATGCCACTAATCGCAATAGAGTCCCATTTCTGATACACGCAGTGTGCCCTAAACGCTTGTGCACTGACAGGTTGTCGTTGGGAGACGCCGTTTGGTGCGTGACGCAAGTGAGAAACCGCTGATCACTAAGGTAAACGTCTGCATGGCTGATTGTAGATTCTCGCTTTTAGTCTGTGACCTCAACGAATGTGATTTCCGTTGCAGAAGCAAAGACTCTCCTCACAAGCTAGCTCTGGAGCTGTAAGTTGACCCACTGCAATATAATTGTTATCGCCCGCGCTGCCACAGGGGTTGTGCCTGACACGAAGTCATATTAGCTTCAGAGCTTGAACTTCGCATGCACAGGATGTGGTGTCTAGCAATATTCTATTGCAATGACTATAAAAAGTTGCTGCTTTAATTTCAGGTCACCGACTGTACGCAACCCGCCGAGCAGGTCAACGTCTCGGCCTCGACGTCACAACCAACTGCTGCTGAGCACACGGTAGGTTCAAGTTAAGCTAGAGTTGATGTGAGCAGCAGCATGATCTGCTGAATGCGATAAACATATCTTGGGTGGTAATCTATTGCACTGAGCATGCAAAGCTGATGCGTTCCTTTCAGGTCATCGACTGTACGCAAGCCGCCGAGCAGGTCAACGTCTCGGCCTCGACGTCACAACCAACTGCTGCTGAGCACACGGTAGGTTCAAGTTAAGCTAGAGTTGATGTGAGCAGCAGCATGATCTGCTGAATGCGATAAACATATCTTGGGTGGTAATCTATCGCACTGAGCATGCAAAGCTGATGCATTCATTTCAGGTCACCGACTGTACGCAAGCCGTCGAGCAGGTCAACGTCTCGGCCTCGACGTCGCATCCAACTGCTGCTGAGCACACAGTAGGTTCAAGTTACGCTAGAGTTGACGTGAGCAGCAGCATGATCTGCTGAATGCGATAAACATATCTTGGGTGGTAATCTATCGCACTGAGCATGCAAAGCTGATGCATTCCTTTCAGGTCACCGACTGTACGCAAGCCGTCGAGCAGGTGAACGTCTTGGCCTCGACGTCGCAACCAACTGCTGCTGAGCTCACAGTAGGTTCAAGTTACGCTAGAGTTGACGTGAGCAGCAGCATGATCTGCTGAATGGGATAAACATATCTTGGGTGGCAATCTATTGCACTGAGCATGCAAAGCTGATGCATTCCTTTCAGGTCACCGACTGTACGCAAGCCGCCGAGCAGGTCAACGTCTCGGCCTCAACGTCGCAACCAACTGCTGCTGAGCACACAGTAGGTTCAAGTTAAGCTAGAGTTGACGTGAGCAGCAGCATGATCTGCTAACTGCGATAAACATATCTTGGGTGGTAATCTATCGCACTGAGCATGCAAAGCTGATGCCTTCCTTTCAGGTCAACGTCTCGGCCTCGACGTCACAACCAACTGCTGCTGAGCACACACTAGGTTCAAATTAAACTAGAGTAGATGTGAGCAGCAGCATGATCTGCTGAATGCGATAAACATATCTTGGGTGGTAATCTATCGCACTGAGCATGAAAAGCTGATGCATTCCTTTCAGGTCACCGACTGTACGCAAGCCGCCGAGCAGGTCAACGTCTCGGCCTCGACGTCACAACCAACTGCTGCTGAGCACGCGGTAGGTTCAAGTTAAGCTAGAGTTGATGTGAGCAGCAGCATGATCTGCTGAATGCAACAAACATGATCGCATGCGCATCACTACTGTGTGATGCACGATAGTAGTCTCAGGCTGGCAGTTGTACTGCAGTGACTAAATTGATCAGCGACGGCTTGGATCAGGTTGCCATACCCGGCAGACCGACCTCGCGCTGTCTAAACCCCCAAACGTCCAATTTGCATTTTTTAGAGCGCAGCTCTTAGGGGCCCGTTCCCGGCTTCAGCGGCGTCGGCGTCGCCGTCGGCGTAACCAAGGTCATCCCAAGGTCACGTGCCCCCCAAGGTCATCCCAAGGTCACCCCAAGGTCACGTGACCCCCCTGGTCACGTGACCCCCGAGGTCACGTGACACCCCAGGTCACGTGACACCCCCAGGTCACGTGACCACCACCAGGGTCACGTGACCCCCGCCGAGGTCACGTGACCTCGCCGATGACGTCAGTCAGTGATGACGTCACCGGCATCCGCATCGTCATCGTCATCAGTGATGATGTCGATGACGATGCGGATGGCGGTGAGGTCATCAGTGACGTCACTGATGACGTCATCAGTGATGATGACGATGGCGATGCGGATGCCGGTGACGTCATTAGTGGCGTCACTTGTGACGTCAGCAGTGATGATGACGATGACGATGCGGATGCCGGTGAGATCATCAGTGACGTCACTGATGACGTCATCAGTGATGATGACGATGACGATGCAGATGCCGGTGACGTCATCAGTGACGTCATTGGTGACGTCAGCAGTGATGATGACGATGACGATGCGGATGCTGGTGAGGTCATCAGTGACGTCAGTGATGACCTCATCAGTGATGATGACGATGACGATGCGGATTCCGGTGACGTCATCAGTGACGATGACGTCATTGGGAGGTCACGTGACCTCGGCGGGGGTCACGTGACCTGGGGGTGTCACGTGACTCCGGGGGGCATCCGCATCGTCATCATCACAGATGACGTCATCAGTGACGTCACTGATGACGTCACCGACATCCGCATCGTCATCGTCATCATCGCTGATGACGTCATCGGAGTCCACATCGTCATCGTCACTGATGACGTCATCAGTGACGTCACTGATGACATCATCGGCATCGTCACGTGACCCCCCAAGGTCACGTGACCCCCCCCCAGGTCACTTCACCCCCCCCAGTACTCTTCCCTCCTCCTCCTCAAGAGCTGCGCTCTAATTCGGTGTTACAGGGAGTTGTAAACGGCTTTCACTTTTTTTTGTGGTAAGGGGAACATTTTCATATACCAAAATATGTAAAGCTACAACCCAAGCACTTCCAGCAAAATGACTACCTACCAAACGTTGCCGGTAACTGCTTTTATAGCTTTCAATGGAGACGCCGGCACTGCTGGGGAGCTCTGTACAAGCAACCTCGGAGAGTGGCTCCTTGTAGTCTTGCCGCCTTAGCAGTTCAATGAGCCTCAGCAATGCTAAAGCTTGTTTAAACAATCTTTCTTTGGTGGTACACTGGCTGCCAGAGACGCCCAAACGCTCCGATTGAGCTTTGATTTATAGTGAAATGAGGAGTAGCATAAATTGAGGAGGTTGTCACTTTAAAGAAACAGGGGACGGGGTGATCGAGGAAATAAGAAAGAAAATAAGATTATTCATGGCACAGTCGAAGCCAAGAGCATGAATAAATGATCAGGGTTTCATCCCTTGCATAGGGCGGAATAGCAGAGCTAAAACCATATTCCTGCGGGACACGCCAAACCTCTAGCTTAACTCTCAACGCGGCGGTAGCAGAGAACGCTGTAGCAGACGACGCGAGCAGCAAGATCCGACTGCAGCACCGTTAGTTCTCGTGACCGCCGCCCGTGCCACTCGCCTCCGCAGGCGAGAATGGGGAGCTGTGAAACCGAGCTTGCTCCATTAACGTTGCTTATGGCTGCCCGTTGCCTGACCATTGTTGCCGGCCGCATTTTCCAACATCTTTCAACATCGTCAGGGCAGCGTCTCATGGTTGCGAAGAGCAATTTCGGAAAGGGTCTACTTTCAGTACAGTGCTCCCCTCTTTGTCCTCCTTGGTTACGTCATTACACCCGTGACTTGGAAGAGAGTGTTAAAGTTGAGGGGTGCAACACACATGAATATGTTTTATTTTTAAATAATAAAAACAAACACACAGAAACAAAGAATATTTTGTTATCCATCTGTTGTATGGCCCCTTTAAACTAGTTACTTTAATTCTATGACTATTAAACATGATTCGAGACAATTTAAGCACAAGCTTTTTCATTTTTGCACCACTTCGATAGTTGCTATTTCTCTTTGTACTGAATATTGTTCAGTTGCTCTCCAACAGAACCAGCCTACTTTTTCAATTGATAAACTCTGATTTTGTTCACAGACAACTGATCACGGCCAAGTTCGCCCGGATGTGTGCCACCAGGGGATCCAGTGGGAAGACCCGTGTCTTTGCGACCATGCCTACTCGAGGCCCACTGCTCCAACTGCGACGTTTGGTCTTCATGGTGGTCGTAGCATTGAGGCGCGGGACATTTTCTTTTATACCGGTCTGCATGCAGATGTCTTTATGGAGCTGGTGAAAGTTGTACCAGAGTTTGCGACACAAACTTCATGATGTCAGTAGAGCAGCAAGTTTTACTAACGCTGATGAAGTTGAGGCTGGGCCTTGTCTATGGCGATTTGTCTAGGAGGTTTGGGGTTTCAGTTTCCTCCGTAGGCAACATTTTCCGTGCCATGCTTGCCACACTTGGGCGGATCCTAAGGAATGTTGTTGTGTGGCTCTCGAGAGAGACAATCTTCAGGAATGTTCCGCAGTCCTTTGAGGGGAATGGTTTTCCAGGCACTACGCGCATTTTGGATTGCACTGAGGTGTTCTTGCAGCGACCAAAAAAATTGCTCGCTCGAGCACAGACCTACAGCTCATACAAAGGCCACAACACTGTGAAGTTTTTGGTGGCTATTGCACCTCACGGATCAGTGATGTTTGTGTCCAAGGTGTACGGTGGACGAGCGTCTGACAAGCATATTGTGGGAGACTCGGGAATTATTTCCTACTTTCAACACGGTGATCAGGTGATGGCCGACAGGGGCTTTTCCCTCGATCCCGAAATGGAAGCAAAGGGTGTAGTACTCAATGTGCCAGCCTTTACTCGAGGGAAGCTTCAGCTGTCAGAACGAGAAGTGACAGAGACCAGAAGGATTGCGTCTGTTCGCATTCATGTAGAACGGGCAATAAATAGGATCAAATCCTACAGGATTCTGAAACAGGCACTGCTTATCCAGCATCGAAAGGTTGCAAATGAGATAGTCTATATATGTGCAGGGCTGTGCAACCTAAAGGGACCTTTGATCAAGAAGTGAGCTTTTTTCTTGAGAATTCTGGAGCAGTGAGGTCTGCGTGGCATACCAGTTCCGAGTTATCACTTCTCTATCCTAGAATCAATTGAAACTTCTACAAAACTGTATGCATGGAACTTTTCTTTTGTAATTGCCACTTCTTGCATTGCTTTTTTCGCCCCAGAGTTCCTTTAGATTACATTTATCTACACTATGTGAGTGTTTTTTATTCAGTATTCATACATTTGAAAGATACTTTAACACTACATGCTCTCGCATAACACAATGGCCTTCAAACCCAAGCTACAAGCACACCCTGCATAGACTCGAAATACTATGCGCATACCCCTTCTAGTAGAAGTGGCTAGCAATATTTTGTCAGATAACCCAAGTTCAGTTCCGCAATCTTGTCTGTTCTTTTTTTAGTAATGTGTTACTATTTTTTCGGGCATGTTCCTACCGCTACCTTACGCAGGTCCAAGAGTCAACTGTGTATTTCTGTTGTGTATTAACGATTGCACATCTGCCAAGATTACATATTTTTCATTATCTTTTGTGAAGGTGTTGTGTAGATAGAGCTAGAGGGCCTGTCATAGTCACAGCATTGTGCTTGAAACTGTTTTTTTTTAATTTCTTGTTTCCCCTCTTACCTGAAAACTGTTGTACCAGCATGGCTCAGATTAGTTCAGCCAGTTGTGGCTAACAAACAGTGGCTTGACATGTGTTAAATAATAGATTTTGAAGTAATAAGCCATGTTGAAATAACAAACTACAGATTTTGAAGTAATAAGCCATGTTGAAACAACAAACTACAGATTTTGAAGTAATAAGCCATGGTGAAATAACAAACTACTCAATCAATACCACTGAAAACCATGGATAAGCGAAGCATCACACACATTGTATTGCACAAAACGACACAGTACACTGACCTGCCCAATCACATCTGTACAAGCTGCTTGTACACATTTGAGAGTGAAATCTTTCCAGAGTTGGTGTCATCAACAAATGCCGGCAAAAGGCTCTTAAAGTAGAAGTTTCTGACCCTTGGCAGGTGGCAGTTCATAAAGTCCTTGCTGTATTGCACAACTGCAACCTCGTCGTGACCCTCGGACCACACATAGAAGTGACAGACGAGCTTGCCAGTGCAGTGCATCGCAAACTGAACCTGGTGGTAGTACTTATTTTTTCCTTTGGGGTCCAGCACGAAAACCACATTGCCATTCTTGCGGACATTATAGGTTCCAGATTCTAGTAACGCTGAGCAGTTTGGTACATTAGGACACTTTATCTCCAGAAGAGCATCAAGTTCATCGATGATTCCATCAGGGCTGGCTGCAAGCCATGGCAGCTCAGGACAGACCACCAGTCCTACTTGTCGAACAGCACAGTTGTATCTGTGCATGAACTTGCTCCTAACTTTGGGTTCGCTGCGGCGGCCATGCTCGGTTGCTTTGTTCCCTCGAAAAGTCGGGTGAAGAATGTCCTGCACAGCTTTGGAAGGGTTGGTTGATGCCCTCATAGGTACCTTTTTTATCACGGACGATGTTAACCGCATGCGGCGGCTCTCGTGCCAGAGTGTGCAGTTGCCTTGCTCTGCCGTTCTTTTGCAGAGTAGGTCCATGGCAGGTGCATGGATGGCTACAAGCTCGTT